ATCAAGTTTTTTGGGTTTCTCGCTTCTCATCTAGATGAAACTAAAAATGGGTCATCGATGTGCTCGTAATGAAAACATTTTTTCCATTTATTATTTCTATTCGATTACTGATGTGGTTGAGTATAATAGTCATCAATGTCTAATTCCCACCTCCACAATTTTTTGAAATTCTCCACTCATATCTGTTGAATTTGATATGTGATGAAGTATATTTGCATGTTTATCTACATTCTCATTTTATGCTAATAAAACTTCATTCTCATTATCTGATCATCTTAATAATTCAACATCTGCTAATTCTAGATACTTTTGTATTGTGCCCTTCTTTCATGGAAATTTTGCTGTGTACTTTTATTATCTTTCTTTTTTTGAACGAATTATTAATTATATTTTTATCGCGACTCACTAGGCGCAACATTGCTTTTTTTCGTGGATATAAGAATAAATCATAAATGTTATCTAGCAATGAATAAAGAAGAAAGCTGCATATGCATAAATTAAAATATAAGCCAACATAAATAAACATGTTTATGACGTATAAGTGTAAGTTATGAAGAGTCTACAAATACCCAAAAGAAACAGATGGGTAATCATATAAAAAATACACACATAACGGGTTGGCCTTAAAATTAAATGTAGCAAGAATATATTAATCATTTCTTTACGATGTGAGTCATCGAATTGGGTGAATCCGTTATTCACTCGTATTTATTCGTATCGATATTATGACTATTATTTTGTTATTATCATCAGTATCATTAATATAATCATAGTTATTATTACTTGGTTATTCTCGGCCTCATCCGTATGTAAATAATTACTCTTTTGGAATTATTAATATTATTACTGTCATCACTGTTGTTGCTATTATTATTTACATTGTTGCAAGGATCATACAAGGTACGAATGACTTGAGCGATTGAAATTCTCGAATATTTGATGTGCTTATATTAATATTAGGTTTAATTACTCAAGTTTGAGGTAATCGATCGATTAAACGATTTGATACAAACTATCAGTCGTTACAGGTGGTGTCTCTCGTCATCATATGAATGAAGGAGGCACTATTATGGATTGAACGAGTCATGTGTTCCTTGGTATTTACTATCTTCTGGCGAAAATTATTACATTGACCGTAATCAAACAACGAAAAAATTTCTGGCAAATTGATTCATGAATATTCAGTTGTTTGAGACAATACAGCGGTGCTTAAATTTTCGCAAACTCCTCATCACCGTATATACAGAAATATCGTTCCGTTCGAGCGTTCGGAGTGAGCACTTTTTAGAGGCGTTCCCTGAGCTCGCATTTCTTGCCAATTTCAAGTTTTCTTTGATTGATGAGATTAAGTTCCATATTGCTTCCGACTGTTTTTCGAGTTATTTTTTCTTCATTGTGCAATGTCTCCGTAAATGTCCTTCAGCAGTGCACTAGGCTTATTTTTTCAAATAATTTGCTCGTTTGTTAGTATGCATTCTCTCAAGTGATTACAACCTTTCAGGAATGAGCACATCAGATCAGCCAACAAAAACGTTCCTGCCATCAATATGCCACACTCTTCAATGATCCAAACAATGATTTAAACAATATCCGTTCAGTCTCCTCATTCAGTTGATAATTGCTTATGTTAACGGTTTTGCAATTGCTTGTCCCTGTTATTCGAATATCAGCGTCCAATGTACAACAATTTTTAAAACTAAATTTATTCGTGGAGATCAGAAGACACACTGATTAAGCATCATTCCATGAAATGTAGTTGTAACAAGGCACTTTTTTTTTCACATCAATCAAGGAGGAGTTGGTGTCAATAGGCGATCGGAAGCGTTGACCACCCAAGTGGCTGTAATGAAAGGCTCGTTTGACGAAGGCTCTGGTATATGTAGACGCACGATATCGCCACCTAATTCTTCAAAAACATGCCACCCATATAGTATCCCCAATAAACGATATTGAAGACGGCATAAACTACTGAAAATAAATGTTTTCATTACGGTATTACTGTGCGATCTATTTTTCTACATCTAATTTCATTGTCGCCGCGATTCAAATTTGAGTAGCATATTTATCGGATAACTTGATTCAGTTTCTAAAATGCATTCAGGTGCCCAGGCACCGGCCAAAGCATTTGACCTCTCTAATCATGAGCGTACGCCTCATTCAAACGGATGATGCTGAAACACCACGGTATCCAGGTGCATCTACTTTGCAGGCTGCCCTATTTTCTTATTAATTATCCGATAATTGAAGCGAATCGGAGTGCATACAAAGGCGGGATTGATGACATTTTTCAGGAATGCAAATTGACGATCCCCGTTCCTGTATTCAGAAATTTGGCAGCATCTTAACTTCGGTATAGCTTAGGCAGAATTTTCTTGAAGAGGCGGACCTGAAAATTTCAGTAAGGATGTACAATTGCAGCCGATTGACAAGTGCATTCGAAAAATCATCAGTTAACAACAACACATATAGTAACGGTTTTTGAAATTTCGAGATAGGAGAATCATTTCTTCAGTTTCCCTTTGCTGCTGTTTAGAGTGGAGTGTGTTCGGAATATCTTTTGAAACAATCTCATTGAAGCATCATTCGTGATGAGTCGACGCAGTTGCTGCATGAATAAACAGAACATTTTGAGCATTCATTTGTGCCGCGTGCAAACGCTTTTCTTCTTGGTTCAAAATAGCCGCTTTTCATTCGCAAGTTTAGCAAGGGATTGTCACCAACGATGCCGGATTAGTGATTACCAAACTACACCAGTCCTCCTTTATCAATCACCAACTTTTTCCCTTGAATGTTTGCTTACTATGAGAACCCAAATGATCAGCAACATCGCGAAAAAGTTAATGTGCGATTTAATATCGCTGCCATTCAAATTTTGAGTAGTGATAAAGTAAGCCAAATTGTAAGCGCAGTTTATTAACTGCTTCAAAATGATTCCACTGGAATTAGAATAGTGATAAAAATTAGTTCAGTTTGTACTGATTTAATTTAGCCTATTAAGAAATTTGGTACAATAAGGAGTAAGTAATAATTAGGAATCGTGAAATGCATACAGGATTTGAAATGAACTCAAAGTTCAGTAATTGCATCACAAATTAAATTTCATTCCACTTTGCGCACCTCCTTTTAAGATATACAAATGTTAGCAATTTGCATAAATTTAGGCAGTAAACGAAAGCGTTTCCCTTGCAATCAATCATTTCTTTCGTAATTTTCGAAAAAAGAAGACAGATCACTCTTGTTTGTATTGCTTTACTGCTTTTTTGGATGGACAGTGTAAATGCAAAATAAATGCCTATGTTCAGTAAATTGAAAGGAATCAGTACTTGGAAAGACGATCCTCGAATAAAGATCAAGTTTCTCGGTGTCCCATTTCGGCGTTCGCCTCTGCAAACCTTTATGACTTTGATGAAATAAAATGTGACTTTTATTTGTTGTTTCATTGATGAAATCCGGAGAATTTTCTCAAAATTCATGCACTTGTGAATTATTTCACCTTTTTATGGAGCTGCTTCAACGTCACGATTGATCGCTCTTCATTTCGACCCATGAATCCAATCATCGCCAACTCAATCAGTGATGCGAAGACAAACGTCATTCCGCTGTAAATTCTTTTTTAGTGAAAGAATATCAATTCGAGGTTAACAAATGCAAAATAATCGATTAAGTCTCTTGCGCAAGAAATTTCCTCATTCTCCACTTTTCACCATCAGCGATTGCTTCTTGTTTGAATGAAACAAAAATCTTCAGAGTGAAATGAAAATCCATTACACAGATGCACATAAATATCGATTCATGATTAAATCGGTTACGTTTTGGAACGTTTTATGGCATATAAAATGAGCCGAGAAACGAATAAAACAGTTGCAGAAGATGATTCTATTCCTCAGAGAGCAACTGAATCAAGCAGCATCGTCTGGTCTGCACATAAAAACCACACAAATATCAATGGTACCTCTGAATGAAATTCGATTACAGTTTTCCGTTGGTGAATTCCATGCCAAAACCGGAGGAAGGTTTCAGCAGAAAACAAATTAAAAACTCTTGAACAGTTATCATTATTTTTTTCAATAGCTTACCTCAAAACCCAAACATCGATTGCCTGAAATTACAATTCAAACTTTAATATTCGGCTTTAGTTTGATAACAGCTATCTTAGGGATTCTGATAAAAGCATCTTTAGAGATAAGCCTCATTAAGTGATGACTGAATCCGGTAAATTTCAATTGGAAAAAAATTTCATTTCCAAACTCCGTAATGTATATCGAACAATTACAGTATTACAGACACGTTCATGGGCAGTGTTGGTAAAGTCACACAGATGCACATAAATTTGAAGATTGAAGCAATTATTCATGATGGATAATTTGTTTTTTTTTCGCACTACTTGAGCATTTCATCGCTATTTGCTTAAAAAGTACTATTGTTCATAATCCGCCTTTTGACACTAGTTAATGCCCATGATTACTCCAGGCAGACGCATAAAATAGATGAATTCGAGCGATTGTTTTATTACTTTATTACTTTCGGTGGACTGATTAAGTGCGATTATAATTTGTCAATATACTGACGAATAATTTTGAAAAAGCATAGAGCGACTCATATTAACAGCCATCGGTCAACGCTGAAACGTATGGAGTGTTTTGAAGAAGTGTGTAGGGAAATTATTGAGACGCTCGATTTTATAACCGAATTAAGATTCGACGTGCATCATGATACAAACATGTTTGGTGCACGACACACTTGGGAGACTGGAACGATATCTTGGTGAATATTTTCATTGAGCAATTTCCTCTGTTTTGTTTCCAGTGAGCCTCACAAATAATAGCATATTGCCATTACTTGCATCGCTATATGTTACTCAGATATGATCACTCATTACGAAAATGACTGGTATCTTAGCGTGCAGTGCGAAAACAAAACTATTTAGTAGTGGTTTCTTATTATTTTATGAAGTCGATACGGAAATAGTGGAACTAGGTTGATTTCATGATTGACGTCAAATATAAATGTACGACTGACAGGAAACGCAATTATTCTAACCTTGATGTAGGATACACGAGGCAAATTGCGAATAATATTTCCGAATTGGAACGTCATCGCGAGCAACGCGTTAACTCCAATCATTGTCCTTGCAGGAATCGCTTTTGGTCCCAAATAAAACGGTATCCACGATATGAAAATGGTGAGATAAGTTGGTATGTAACCTGGAATTCGTAAACTTCGTTCCGAATATCGTTTGGAGTGCGATCATAATGAGTCTTTTTATTAGATC